TTAGTGCCAAGTTTTACGAGAAAGACGATCATGCTATCCAATTCTTACGTATTCCTGGTTCTTCCACTTCTAACTAAGGTATTGTACTTTCGGACATGGCGCGCCCCAGAGTTTTTAACTACTGAAACGTTTAGGTTAGTTTAAGCTAGGCTAGGGGTCAGGTTAGGCCTACTGGGGGTCCGGGGGTTAGGTTTTGTTAGGTCAGATAACTCGTTTTTGTTTTGTCCCTCACCCAAAAACCTCGATTTCCCAGGCTCTCCCCCATTATTGTTGGGGGGAACTAGCAATTTACGCCAAAAATGAAGGTCAGATTCGTCTGAAATACACCAAACTACACTGGAAAAACATATTGGTCAACCCCTAGGGACTCGTGTCCTAAAGTAAAAATATACTAACATTTAATTAAAATGGTGATCCATGAGTCACTAGGACTCACTACAACAATATAATGGCGTCTGTTGATCATCACACTGCGATGGCGATTAAAGGGGCCACGTTTACCCATTAGAGAAAATTTATAAACCAAATTTCATTTACCTTCCTGTCGGTTATAGATGTGAAACCCTTAAGAAGTTTTCGACAAACTCGCTGCAGGAGAGATGTGCAAACTGAAGGAAAAATATCAACAAACCCCAAAACTCTCTGAAGACAGTGAACTTACAATGTAAAAGTACACGACACGTTAGTAAGTCACAATGGTTCCCAAATATAGGGGCTGTGGGACACTGGATGAACACATATGCGTGTCCTCGAGAAGCGACAAATCAAGTTTCATTTAAGTGAGTCAAGCTGTTTAGAAATGTGGGATATACTGTACATTGGTGTGGTGTCTGAGGAACCATTTGTTGACGCACTAGGCTGTACGGTCCTGCCTCGGGATTATGAGCCTTAATTTAATTTCTATTTTATTTTATTTTAGAATTAGTTACCAAAACAAATTTACATTTATAATTATCAATATATTTCATGATACGTTTTAATTTAACCCTGTGGTATTGACTACTTTCAAGAAATTGAAATATAAAAATTATCGTACCTGTGCCGAGAGCTCCAGTTGTCATCGTCTACGGCTGTGTTGGTGTTAAACAATACGTACACATCAATAATTTTCCAATATTATTTCCCCATAATGTCACTGTAGAAACATTTACAAATAAGAGTGATAAATAATTCGTTTTAAACTGCGTTAGTTTAGGGTTAAGACTACTCAATCACCACAGACGAGATGTACACCTACACTTGCGTAGAGTCAACAGGATACTGACCATCTGACATTCTCGAACCTTCGCGTCTGATTGGAGAATGAGAGGCGAGAGCAGGATAACGACCCAACGACTGCACTACATATTCGCTCACGATAACGATCATTATGTAATTTCTTAATTTCCATATATAAAATAACTATCGCCTATGTGCGTTGGATCAAATAATTGATTTTGTCACGGCTTTAAAAGTTCATTTAACTTTATTTGTCTATGGACGGGATCTCAGCTCCTTCACTTCACACGGGGCCACATTTACCAACACACATCATGAACTAGAAACTGTTTAAATATTAATAAGCATTAAGATATCCTGTAACATATCACGATGAAACCAAGTAGCGTTTTTATGTGAAACCCTGAAATAAACATTCGCCATCACTCAATCATGTTCGTCATGCTTGTTTTTATGTTGTTCCTTGAATTAATTACTACTTATGGATCATAACAGCACTTATTAAATGATTGATTAATAGACAACACAAATATACTTGTACCATTGAACAATGTATTAGTTAGGCGGTAATTACTCTAATAAATCGTCAAGTCAACACCGGGCATTTAACGGTCGACCAGGTGGGGGAAACATCATTACCACTCACACGTGATACCTTCCCTTTATAGTGCTACCATGTGCTTCTGATTTCGGATATCTAGGAATAGAAAACTTGGCTACACATATCTTAATATCTCTCTCTGGCAGTGTTTCTTTATACAGTATTTGCGAGAAGAATTACTAAGTTAATACAAAATATATTTCCGTAATGAAGTATTATTTTGATAAAGCATTGTCACCGTATATCATGCATAGATATAAACTTAATCCTGGGGTGCAGGGTCTGAATTATCGGATTCAGGCGCCACAGATAAAAACTTTCAGGCAATTCTACCGCCTTTCACATTTAATTATTATTTACTTGAATTATTATATAATATCTATACATAGGCAGCCTACATGATCCAGCATGATGTAGATATTAATTTCTTTGGATGCGAATTACACAAGACCAGTCGAAATTCGGGTCCTTGGCAGAGGTAGCTTCACTGTGGGCGGGGGGAGGGGAGGGGTGAACAGAGAAGATCACCCATGCCATAAAAGCCTACGCCCATCATGATCCCGAAGCAGGCGACGTAAACCAATTCCCTCCCCCACACACACAACCAGACCGCCTGAAATTAGATAACCCTCTCTCGTGCGGTCCATTGGCAAAATAACCTAAGTATATATATAGCACTTCCTCGCTCGGGGTGTGGCGTCCTACCATGAGAAAACTTAACCTAATGTAATAAAACTTAAGCACACTTAAACTAAGGAAAACCTAAGGTGATCGAAGCCAACCTTATGTAAATTTAACCTAACCTCACTTAACCTAAGCTAACCAAACAAACCTAACCTAACCTGACCAGAGAGTCATGGAGACGTGTAATAACTCCTCCCCTCCTTGCCCAGTGTTTACCATGGCCAGGCTCCCCGAGTATTGTGTTAGCGAGGACACACCAGGCACCACCACATCGAGATCAATCATCCCTAGTGTCCTTCAATACACTCCAGATGTAGTGTTCGCCAGGCGTTCATCTTGCCTACACTGGAGACCCCTAGATGGAGAGGAAATTTGAGGGATCACTTGAAGATTAATTCCCGTGTTTATTTCACCTGAACATTATGAACCTTTATGCTAACCTAACCTAACCTAACCTAACGTATCCTATCCTAATCTAACCAATCTTAACCTATACTAATATAACCTATCCTATTCTATCCTAACTTAACCTAACCTAACCAAACCTATTTCTCCAGGTAGCGTTAAGGTGTTTAATAAAATGGGTGAAATAAACTAGGGAGCAAATCTTCAGGTGATTCACTTATGGGGAATAGCCCTTAGAATTTTTCACCTCTTCTATACTCGCGTCTGATTTAGGGAATGTGTATGTTATATCAGAAATAGGATCGAAGTGTTATGATTGTCCAATAATTAGCCAGTGCGGTTAGTAAGTTCCCCGATGTTCCTGGGCTTTGCTTTGACAAGGCTACACAACTCGTCAACTATGGATGTAAGTGTTTTATTGGTGGTATCATATACACTTTAATTAAATTTTCACGTGGCTGTTTTAGAATTTGGTCATGCCTAGGAACGAGGATCTCTCTCTCTCTCTCTCTCTCTCTCTCTCTCTCACACACGCACGCATGCACGCCACGTAATATTGGATTACTGGAGCGACGTGTACCATCACGCAACAAGCACCACCACCATGTAGGACTGTCAGTGGTTCAGATGAGTCTTTAAGGTGACGACGCGGGAGAATATACAGTACTCGATCCTTTTTTTTAGGTTCCTTCATACGCCATCGGGTTAGATTGGGCTTGTTTCTATATGTTCCTTCAAAATGCAAGCTTGGGTCTCTCTCTCTCTCTCTCTCTCTCTCTCTCACCTAAAGCAAAATTGCAACCACTCTGTATTTCACATTTCGGTCGATTTAAGAGCAAACGATATACAATACCTGCAATTGACTACATTCCCCGCAACCTGTTTTGAACTCCACTACCAAAACCCAAAACCCTGTTGAGGTTCGAGGTGTTGGGGTTCGGAGTTTTGGGATTCGGGGTTCGGAGTTTTGGGATTCGGGGTTCGGAGTTTTGGGATTCGGGGTTCGGAGTTTTGGGATTCGGGGTTCGGAGTTTTAGGATTCGGGGTAATGGGATTAAGAGTATAGTTGGTGTTTCGTTTTAGTTATTCCACCCACTCGTTCTCTACATACCCTTAACAACTGTGGTAGTGGTGAACATAACTGACCTGAGAGTTCTATTTGGATCGGAATTGTGACCATGCTGAACGCGCTGACTGTGTGAGTGTTATACCGACGCATGGCTGAACACTGAATGCGTAAAACACTGCTGGATATCCAAACAAAAATATTATTTGCTTATTCTCGAGTCTTAGTGTAGTTCTGGCGCCATTAGGTGGTCATAAAGTTAATTAGTTGTCATAATGAAAGTGAAAATCAATTAGGGGTGTCATTAATTACGTGTTCCTTAATATTTTAGGATCAATATTTGCTAATTGTGATAAAAAAGCAACAGAGAGTAACATGGACACGAATGGCTTAAGTAGTTGTATTGAAGTGTCGTCTCTTACGGGAATTTATGGAACGATTATGTAACCAAATTTGCGTGATGGGATGATGGTAAGTGGCATGATTGATGACTGTAGCTGTATGGTTTAGTGTGATTACATTATTTCCTCAGAGTCTATTATTGATCTCTTGTTGCTTTGTTTGATAATGAGAGAATGGTCTTGGTAATAATCATGTATCAACGTAGGAAACAAATTTAACAGTGAAATGAAACGATATGAAAAATACACAGGAGGTGAAATAGAGTTTTGTTTCATAAATAACTTGATGCTCTTTTGTTTACGACCACACAAAAGATGATATTTTTCTCTAATGATTTATTTTATGTGTCTATCATAATAATTTCCTCTGATCTTGTTCTCTTTGAGTCATCTGTGTTGGCTAATAATGTTTTTTTTTTTTTAGCAAGCTGCAGCATCTGGTCTGGTAGATCTATAGGTTTCTTTGTTATGAGTATAAATACTTGGAAAAAACAAGTGACTGCTGATGTTCTGTTGGCCCTAAAGAAATCATTAAGTTTGTCATATATAAGATCAGGAATATCTACACCAATTTGCACCAATAGAATTGTATAATGAGCTGAGTTCCCGGATCATTTTAAGTCCTTCAAAAGTAATCTGATTCTTCAACTTGTTCCTCAGTATTGCGACCCAGTGCGGTGCAGCTGGTGGTGTTCTCAGCTTCACCCGACCCTCCAGGGAATAATGGAGATAAACAATATGTGTTTATAGTTATATTTGTGAAAGTTAAATCCAGAGTTGTAAAAAGTACCGAACTTTGTTACTTAAGTAAAAGTATTGTTACACTGGCAAAATGTTACTAAAGTTGAAGTAAAAGTAACTAAAGTTCAGTGTACTTAAAGAAGTAAAAAAGTACCCCATTCATAAAGTTCTCAAGTACTGAAAGTAAAAAGTAACAATACAATTATTAATTGTCTCAAATATTAAAATAAATCCACAGTAATTATAAAAACAAGTTAACAGAAGATAAAAAAAGACAGCATTACACATGTTAATTGCAGCTGCTGCTGTAACATCCCGCTGCCTTCGGATCTATTCTGTACCATATGCCTAGTGGCACAGTCTCCAACTGAGTAACACTCGCTGGGTACCGGAGGCAAACTCGAAGTAAGTTCTTTAGTATTTTTCTTGGCGTAAGACAACTGTTGGAGTGTGGGTGAGTCATTGCACTTGTGAGAATCACGACTTTTTCCTGGACTACTGAGAGTAAGGGTCTTGGAGTTCCCAGGTCCGTCTTTATCCTCTTTTTCCGGGGCCACTTCCAGGTCCTCAGGGCTGATCGGCGAAGATTGACGCACTTGTATTATACTGGAAAGGCAAAGAAAATTATAGTTGACACACAAATGTCTGTCATTAGAGACAAAAGGGATGATAGTGCTGATAATGTTGTTTATCAACTGAATCCTTTATGTTGTTGCATATTGTCTTATTATGATCATTAATATCAGTAATGAGGACAAAATCTGGCTTACATGAAGAGGACTATGATGATGGCGTTAAGCCCGGCAGCAAAGAAGAACTGGGCAGCGGGCAACACGTCGACGGTGTTGTAGTAGATCGGGGAGTAGCACGCGTAACCCAACATGGGCATCAGGCCGTTGAGAGCCGCCATCATGGCGTTGATGCGTCCTGTCAACATATTAACAGGAATTAACAGAATATTACCGACTAAAACTTTATAATATAAAGTTTCATATTATTATTATGAAACTCTTAGTACTTGAAATATACCAGTGTAAGACAATTTATTACTTGTCTGTGAGTAACACACAAACCAACAGTGGGTGTGTCCCGGGCCTGCCCTATATATTATATACTGTAATTATTAGATCACAATGCTTGTTACAAGCAGGCAGGACTTCTGGACTGTTTATCCCTTGGTGACAATGTCATCATAGTTAATAAACATATTTTTATAATTCGGGATGAAATTTTCGGCTTTTACTAATTGCATTTAAACTTATTCTTGGAGCCATGGTTTGTCAACCAGGGCCGGATTCAGGATTGGGCAAAGTGGGCAGCTGCCCAGGGGCCTCCACAATCTGGGGGCCTCCACATGTGCTGTAGTAGCTATATCAGGGCTGGTCGACTTGAAACCACATGAATGACTCCAGTCATGTCTCACTTTTGTGTGTGTGTGTGTGTGTGTGTGTGTGTGTGTGTTGGGAATTTGTACACTATCAATAAATATACAGTTAATTAAAAATTTCTCAATGTTCTAATTTCCTCAATATAACTACATATGGCTTCAAAATTCTCCAAAGAATTGTTCAAATTTCAAAATTTTCCCGGGGGGCGCTGTAAGCCCCTCGGAACTCCCAGATGTTTAGGCTCGCTTCACTCGCCACCCCACCCTCTCCGGTAGTTATAATGAGGGGGGCCTCCACAAAGAGGCTGCCCATGGGCCTCCACAGGTCTAAATCCGGCACTGTTGTCAACGTGCCTAATTTCACTCATGTGGTCTCCTGAGAGAAAGGAAGCCCATTCATGCAGCCCACTGAGAGAGAAGTAGGCCACTCAAGCGGCCCACTAATTAGCTTGGGTCACACATCATTGACCTAGAGTCTGACCTTCAGTACATCATCCAGGGATTAATTTATAATATTCAAGCCGTGATGTCAGTTGTGATTTAATGAGGTTGGTTTGTGTATTCCTTAGGCGAGGCTGTGTGTGTGTGTGTGTAGACAGGTGTGAAATAGAGCCCGCGCGTGTGTGTATGTATGTATATATTAACAGACACGGGCACCGTGTCTCACGGATCTCAGTAAAAAGTATAGTAGAAGACTGCCGCATGGTACGTGACCGCCAAGGCCCCCAAGATGGTTGCAGATCACGGATGTAAGTTGTGACATGTGTGTGTATGTGTGTGTGTAATCATAATGAGTGTGCGCACGTGTGTGGTCGCTGTGAGTAAGAGTGATAGGCGTATAAGTAGATTGTTAAGTTCACATATAAGTAGGAGTCTTGATTTTCGTTACTTAACAGAATACGGTAACACTATTATGTCTACCTTCATACTCTACAAGTGCGTCTCCACACTGCAGCTAATTCTGAGACACGCCTGTTTGACCACACTTAGGTATGTTATATGAGTTTGTATATACCATCAGTGTATCAGGGTCGTCTCCAGTGCGATACTACAGCCGCACTACCAATCTCTGGGTCATCACGTTGTATATACCATCAGTGTATCGGGGTCGTCTCCAGTGCGATACTACAGCCGCACTACCAATCTCTGGGTCATCACGTTGTATATACCATCAGTGTATCGGGGTCGTCTCCAGTGCGATACTACAGCCGCACTACCAATCTCTGGGTCATCACGTTGTATATACCATCAGTGTATCGGGGTTGTCTCCAGTGCGATACTACAGCCGCACTACCAATCTCTGGGTCATCACGCGATAGGGAGGGACGAGGTTGCGTGGCCTCAGTACAAATGGTAGTGTGGCAACTAGTAGTTGCTTTGTTAAAATCATTTCTTCTGCATATTGTCACCGATAAATGTCGTCTACTGCCACTTACTCCCTTTGTACACTTGCTGAAATGTGTTCCTACATCCCCTGTAGTAACCCGTGTCACCAAACGGCCAATCTATATGACCTATAGCAAACCTATCCACCAATCATGTCTGTCGTTACACAATCAATACCCATTCATTGGAAAACAACAATACTACTACTACAACGTTGCCGTTTGGAGACACTGGTAACCACAGGGGACGTAGAGACACATTTCCGCAACTGTACATCTAAGATCTGTGTCGTAATGTATTTTCACACTTCAGTCTCAGGTACGAGGCAATACTCATGTTAATAGTTCCTGAACTTTATGGATGCTGTTGAAATAATTGGGCTCTTTACACAAGTATGTCAAAGAACTGGTTTTCAGTGATCCTATGGAAGTCAGTGGAATGGTAAGTGATAAGGCGCCTTGAACAACAAGTTAACCCGCGATTATCAGGTTTTTTTTTATATTAGTTTAGGACAATTTAATTGATTCAACGCTCAATTTCAGTCAGTCTCCAAATTAGTTCTGCGTTAAAACGGGACCATGCAATTTTATTCAAAGCCTGGGCTCAGATTTCATGCTTATTCATCATTCCCTTTTTCATGAAATGCCACGACTTTAGAAATTGTCAGACAAAAAGTTAGTCGATGATGAGTGGAGGAAACATTACTAGGAGAGAGTTACACTTTACGAAGCACAGTGGTGGCTGGTCGTGTTCAGTAGACACCATTTACCTGGTCCACATTGTTACCCAAACTTAACTAACGTAACTTTCACTTTCCTTTCCCAATGCTTCAGTCGAGCGTTTCATCAGCCACCTTTATCTTACCAAAACCTTGAAAAAATCTTCTTTAAAATATGGAACACTAAGAGGATACGTGGAGTGTTGCGTCAATATGGAACACTAAGTGGATACGTGGAGTGTTGCATCAATATGGAACACTAAGTGGATACGTGGAGTGTTGCATCAATATGGAACACTAAGTGGATACGTGGAGTGTTGCATCATGTGCATAACCTTAAAGAATAAGTCAGTATCTACACACATTATGGGTGTTGGTGACAGCTGCTGAAAGTTATCAATATCATTATAAGACAATGTTCTCTACTCTGAATTACTCAACAGTTAAATCGATCAAGTTGCCTTTGCGATTCTTTCCTCCTGATGAATATTTGAAGATATTTTGATTTACTTATAAAGCACAAACGAGTTTCTCTATGGTCAAAGGCTTTGACCCTTAACCCTATTTTTCTCACTGAAGTAAAATGGTATTTGTTATGGAGATTCTTTAATACTTTTCTGTTTTGTTATTGAATATGACAAAAGGCGTTGATAAACTCAGAAACTAAATCTGAAAATATATTGGTACAGTTTCCTTGGCTATTTGTCACAGTGTCTGGATATGTTTTGATATATAGTCTTTTTCTTGCAAACTGCATTTGTATACATTATAGTAAAGTGTATTATGTAAATTATCACCGTGTTTATAATTATCATATTATTTTCACTCTTCATTATGTTCATATATTGCCAGACACAATCATGCACTATTCTAGAGAAAAAAGTAAGGATTTGGGTAATATTGGCTGAGCATATGGCCCCTACGCTGAGTACAAGGCCCCTATGCTCAGCACATGCTGAGAACATGACTTACGTGTGGTGGTCATGTGGCCACTATGCCCTCAGCACAAATGGGTTACATTGTGCCTGTATAGCTCTGTTAATATTCAAACAGCCTCGCATTCACAATGAGGACTTTGTATATTTCTCCGGGTCTATAAGTCCAGTTATTTGGTGTGGCTCATGTTTGTGTCTCAGCCGGTGGTAAGTCTGTGCTCACTCGTGACTCTAATGGTCTCTCTTAAACATCTTGTTGTAACGGGCCGAGTTTCCTCTTTTCAATAATTTACCATCCAGTTATTCTTTTCAATGAGTATCCCGTTTTATATACTTATCCTTCTTCAGTTCTTTACACACATACTTACTTTATATATTCTTGCTTATATTCTTATATGTTCTTTATCTCTATATACCTTATATTCTTATATATTCTTATATAAGTAACTCTTATGCTTCTCTGCTTATGTTCTCCAAGTCAATGTTCTTTCTTTTCATTTCCTGTCATATATTATGATCTCATCCATATATTTTGTTCTAGTTATATTCTAAACCATGGATTAACCTGGGAAACCATGTCTTTGTTATTACCACACTTATTATACTTACAACGGTAGCCTGCCACCACCCAGGATTTTCTAGAATATAACATCTCTTAGTTAACTGTTAGGTAGCGAGCTTCTAGGCACGTGAGTTAGTTATTTTCTGAGAACCAATGTGGGAAAGGATAGAGTGGTGATACTCGTAGACGTAGATTACTAATTCAATATTTATTAACACAGTGATTGGATAAGATGCATCTTAGATTCACTCAGACAAAACAGAACTGCAATTTGTTTCTTAAGTCATCAAACACTTCAAGAACTTATTACCTCATTAAATACCTCCAAATACTTATTACTTCAATCGACAATTGTGGTATTGTCACTCTGCCAAATGATATTCAGTACTGGGTATACACCAGATATCACTGGACCCTCAGGTCTTACCTTACCAAGTAGCAAATTAACTCTTCACTTCTTGGTTATATCATTATACTCTCAGATTATCATTTCATGGTCACTACCAATGAATACATAGCACACTGGACAACTCCACAATTATCTCAACATACAATACCTCCTGTTAATTCACAAGGAACAACATGGCACTTTTAACTCTCATTCAGTGGTTCAATACTTAACCTGGGATACTATATTTCTGCTAGTTATCCCCCAAACAAGGTACCATAATACTTAGGCCTATGTAACTGTGAGGAGTGCCCCAGGGGTAACGCTGGTCTCTACAACAAATGAAGATCGCTGTTAGGGGTCGGTTGTAGACCGACACACGCTCAGGGAGTGGGCGCCTGATTTGCGGGAAACGGACTTCCCAGTTCAGTCCTGTCGAATTAACGGCATCGTCCAACCCGGTTACCGCCCCACGTTAGCTGATGAGTATTCAGCTCAACACACTGGAGAGACGTTGAGGAAGTCACGAATGCGTAAAGGTCTAACTTCAACTATACAAAACATACGCCTGGCAACGGTTCAGACAATATCTAAATCTCTACGTTACTCGACTTAATTGGCACAGAATTCACTATGTTAACACATGAGCACTGATATTCACCAAAATTGACTAAGTTAAACTGAATTAATAGGCGGCGGGAACACACGTTAACATACCTGGAGAGACGTTGAGGAAGTCACGAATGCGTGATTCTCCCTCGTGTAGAGGTATATATGTGCACCTGCTGGGCAGCTTGGGCCTCCATATTCATACCAGAAGGGTCGATCTTACCAACAACATAACTTCTCTATCATTTTGGATCACTGTATACTTAGTTATGAACTCCGGTGTTCTTGATCAGGGTAATTTCCTATGTCTATTCATATAATCTAATCAGAGGTTGAGCTTGCCAGGAAAAGGTGGAATATACACGTCGATAACATTAATTCTGCAAGCTCAGGCCTGAGGCGAACAAGGGCTATTCACGGGGAGGCGCTAGATCTTGGAGATTATACCAGTTGACAGAATAGTTCAGGAGATTAATGACTTTCTCAAATAGACAACTGACACTAATTAAACTATAAACATCAGATTCTCTGATGTCGGGGCGACAAAATGATATAACTTCAGGCGCGATCAGAAACTCATGGATACCCCCACGGACGACATAAAATACGCCACTCTAGCTGGCAAACTCGACACTCACTTACTTGACACGTTCTACTAACGATAAGGACAGTTGAAGCATTCTACCCCACTCACAATGGATCTTGAATGTTCCAACTGTAAACAGACATATCTAAGTTGACTCAAAACAAAGGTGTTCTCTCTCACACTCACATTCATTTTATAGAGAGGTTGGTTTCAGTAAGTCAGAGAAAATGGGATAACGGAGGACTGAGGTGTCTTGAAGTGATGAGAAAACGGACTCCTCAGATGGAGGACTCAAACGAAAGCCGAGTTACATGTTTTGTGGGCTATTGAGCGTAATATGAATCATTTGATTTTGCGCTAACTTTGATGTAAGACTGCATTATATTGTGATACACTAAGAAATCCTCAATGCATTTAGTAAACACATCCATAATAGAAAATAGGCGCTAAATAACAATAACAATGAACACCCGCAATGTTTATTTGTTTTAGTGAGTTAATTGGTTACTTTATAAATAGCGCAGCAGCCTGTAATTTTTTTTAATTACAAATGTGTGTTGATGAGGGTCACTGGTTGTGATAGTCTGTCACAGTTCAGATCAGAGAGTTAATATTCTCAAAGTAGTTCTGTGTGGCCTTAGAGTTGTTGTTAGAAGTGAGTATATATATATATATATATATATATATATATATATATATATATATATATATATATATATATAGGAATATACTGACTCCCCCCCTATGTAACATATGTCATGCTATTGTTTTTACGAGGATTAGCCCACAACGGAGCCTGGGGTGGGAAAAGGGCAAAATATAAAATAAATTGCACCATTCATTTATACTTATTTACTAACGACACTAAGAAAATGACAGTGCTTCTGTAAGTAACTTAATCTTCAATAAATACTGTTATATATACTTGTGACACTTGCCAGATGCTTCTGGTGTTATTGTACAGGGGTACCTAGTGAAAGTAATAGGATCCCGCTTCCTCTATCAAGGAATAAATATTGAAATTGAAAAAAAAAACAAATTAAATACTGTATATTATATCTTTTGTAAATTTTTGCGTTTATTTCTTCTTGTAGTAAGTTTGTTGGTAGATATAGCTGTAAGGGTTTGCTAGCCGTGCAGGAAAGCAGATTCCGTTGGCACAGATTGGCACGGTGTTGAATCTGATGGGAACACGAGCGTTGTTTATAATAGGCGAGTCACCCCCTGCACCAACCCCCGCAGTGTCCGCGTTCTCTGTGACTTGAGCGGCAGGGTTCTTGATGGTAGACTCGTCTCGGATGCTGACGATGTTGGAAGATGTCGAACCTGACCAGCACTCAGATATGTAATCGCCAAGATTGCGGTCCTTACACTTATTCTGATAAGCAACCCTGTAGAGATAGATACAGTATTAGTTAATGTAAAGAAGTAAATCAATTGCTGAAAGCCAAGACACAAAATTATCGAAAACCACATTATGTATCATCATACATTCATAAAATTAGTTAACATATTTTCTTAGGGTCTTTCTTGATAAAACAACTCGAACTTTGAATTATCATAGTTAGTTTATTAAAGAATATTTTGGTAACAATAGCTTTTTGCGTAGATTCTCTCATCTACGACTGGCCGGGTGGTCAATTCCTCTTCCCTCCCTCCCTCCCTTCTCCCTGCACTAACCAGGCAGTAAGTCCTGTTCCCCTGCCCTTCCATCTCTCCGTGTCCTTGATAATCTTCTTGATGCAGTTGAGGTCATCAGTCAGGTCAGCGTCCAGCAGATCTTAAGAGAGTCGTACGGCAATGATAATAATAATAAAGGTTTCCCCTTCAAGGAAAATTAAATAAATATATAAATAAAATATAAGGTTTTACAATGTTCATACTATTTACTAATATTATTTGTTATTACACACACGCACACACACACACACACACACACTCTCTCTCTCTCTCTCACCTGTACATGCCATCTTGCAGACGTTCTTGCCCTTCTTGTTGTCATCCTTGCACCAGTACTTGTTGTTCAGTTGAAAGAGACCATAGTCATAACTGCCGTCCCAATTAATGGTGTTTATTGCCTCTGTGTTGAAGGTTGACTCAAACTCCGCGATGCACACCCCTGTCGTGGTAAGTGTGGGCGTGGGAGGGAAGAAGTATGGGCGTGAAATGGTGGGAGAGGAGAGAAGTATGGAGGATATGGATGAAGGAGAAGTGTGGAGGGGTGAGAGAGGAGAGAAGAATGGAAGTGGGTGGGTGGGAGAGAAGTGTGAAGGAGTGGGTGGGAAAGAAGTGGGTGGGTGGGAGAGAAGTGTGAAGGAGGGTGGAGGGAGCAAGCAATGTTGAGAAAGATGCAGGGTGTGGTTGGGGGAGGTGGTGTAGTGGTGTGGTTGGAGAGGCGATGGTGGTGTGTTGGAGAGGTGATGTGCAGTGGTGTGTGTTGGGAGGTGGTAGTGGGTGTGTTGGGGAGGTGGTGGTGTGCTGGGGGAGGCAGGGAAGTGGAGAGGAAGGGATGGAGTGGTTGAGAGGCATGCACGGTGTTGGGGGACAGCAGTGGTGTGCTGGGGAGGCAGGTGTGTTGGGGAGGTGGTGCAGTGGTGTGTTGGGGAGGAGGTGCAGTGGTGGCGGGAGGTGGGGGCGGTGTTAAGAGTTGTAGCGGAGAAACAAGAAATGGTGTAGAAAAATAGGAAAAATAATAGAAAAGATCAAAGAAAATAAAAATGATGAAAAAAGGAAATAGGAAAATGAAAAAAAAAAAGAAAAAAAATTATAAAATAGACTTCACCTTAACATAAGAGAAACAAACATAATCTATCCAGTAACCAAAATAAATTACACAAAACCTTTGTAACCTTAAAATAGCCCTTCTGTGTGTGAGGTAACCACTTATCCAATGTAACAGCCGACTTTCTATGTCCATTTTGGCAATTTCGTAATACATAAGTTGGCTGTTGGCAATATCAAATCCAGCTTTTCGGTCAATAAATATGGTGTATCTGTGCCTTTCATCCCCATGCGCAGGAATGTGGTGATATAATTATGTACACTTTTACCATGAGTGAAGCCATTTATGTTAGGAGACATGTGTTCTCTCATTCTGTATTAGAGTCAGCCAAGAACAATCCTCTCAGAGGTTTTGCAAATGCAGCTGTTTAGCGATATGGGGCGAAAGGCATCAGGCTGTCCTAGTTTTGGTATTGGTACAACAATATTGTTGGTTCATGATTGGGTAGTTGGTATTCAGCAAGACTCATATTGAACAATGCTAATAATAGATCCCCCTGTACACGCCTAAGTTGTCTAATGATATTGTACGTGACACCGTCCTCACCAAGGGTGGTGGAGCTACATATTTGCCCAGCATACAGTTAATAAGATTACTTTTCTCTACAGACTTCGCATCAAGGAGTTCCCGAGTTCAAGTTGGTGACATGTCATGGCTAGAAACATGAACCCACTTTGTTATTAGCTCATTCGATTTTTGTAGCGGGTTTGGCTGGGAGACAAGCCGACTGTTTTTACCTCGTGTTTGTCTTTCCAGGCTTTGGTAATGTGAGTATGTTGTGGATGGTGGAGGTACGGGCGGGGAATGATGGGAAGAAAATCATCACTTAACACACCAGGCGAGATAAAATGTTGGGAAATTTACACATCCTCTTTTACACCTCACGACACATCCTGACTCTCACATCCTTCCCACATCCTATCTATTTATAGAAGCCAAAGGTTTCCTCTGTGTTGTAACAAGAAGCGAGAAGAGCGACGGGAACTGTGGTTATCACGAGCTTTGTGTGAGGCAATGCAATGTTTTTCTTGGTGTATTTTAAGGAGTCCTAAATGTCAGCTCCGGGTCTGTATGCTTCCGTTTGTTGGTTTGTCTAATGTTAGTGATTTTGTTGCTGTTAATGTGGTGGTGGTGGTGGTATTGGTTGTAGTTGTGGTGTTGGAGGTTGTGATGGTGGTAGTAGTAGTTATTGTGCTGGTAGTTGGGATGTTGGTAGTTGTGATGGTTGTTGTTGATGGTGGTAGGTGTGATGGTGGTAGCAGTTGTGGTTGTGGTAGTGGTAGGAGTGGTGATGGTAGTAGTTGTAATTGTGGTGGCGGTAGTACTTGTGGTGTAGGTAGTTGTGGTGGTGGTGGTAGTTATTGTGGTGGTGGTAGTAGTTGTGATGGTAGTAGTCGATGGTGGTAGTTGTGATGGTAGTAGTCGATGGTGGTAGTTGTGATGGTGGTAGTTGTACACATGCTATGCTATATACAGGAATAACAACAATTTATCTCTCACTTCACCTTTACGTATTTTTGTCTAATTATCATCATCATCATCATCATCATCATAATCATCATCATCATTTATTATTTCTAATTGATTTGTGGCTGATTATAATTAATGGTTGATCTTACACACACACACACACCAAGAAACACGGACCACACAGGCATACAACACGTACAGTTCTTGATGTCGTCTCGGGACATGTTGTGTTTGTTCTCCAAGACGGTGGCCAGCTCACACTTTTCGAAGCGCTTGGCCATGGACACACTTACTGCCGCTGTCACCACCACCACCGCCGCCACCAGCATTCTGTAAGGGAGATATAATGAGTGAGTGAGAGACAGACAGACAGACAGACAGCTAAGTATCCCGCAGTAGTCCTGATCAGGTAGTAAACTGTCTCTACCTAACACGAATACACAGCAGCAATCTCTCTCTCTCTCTCATCACTTTTATCCATGTCTCCTCTTCCTGTCCTTCCTTCCCCTCCTTACTTCTTCACCCTCCTCCTATTTCACATTTCTCTTCCTTCAACCTCCTCTTCCTTTACTTCCCTCACACTCATCCCTCTTCCTTCTCCACCACACTCCCTTCCTTAACCTTCCTCCTCCTCCACACCCATCACTCCTGACCCTTCCACACTCCTCCCTCCCACCTCCACACCCTCCTCTCTCTCGCCTCCACACCACCATCACCCACGGGTCTCCTACATAAACCTGTTAATCGCATACGAAAAAAAAAAGACATTAACACGAACTATACAAACTTACAAAGAGACATACTCCCTTAACTACCCAATCGTTCCTTAACTATCCTACTACCATATCCCTAACTATCGTATCTATAGAAGTTAATGTACGGTAGATCCAGTTAAATTCAACATTATCTACCAGTTAACCTTGAGATCCCGGCAACAGCTTAGTACTTTTTTGTGCAATATAACTACTATACAGGTAATGTTTGTTTTTGTCATCTTGGGGTTAAAAATATACTTACTTTGATTGACAACAGGTGTGTGTTTGTGTGTGTGTGTGTGTGGCGTCACTATCACAACACCAGCCGCATCGCCATTGGTAACTGTGTGTCCTAAATTACTTACCTGCACACCTCCCTGTAGTTCACTGAACCTTCTCCCTCTCTCTCTCTCTCTCCACCAATTAATCTTCTCTCTTAATCTTCAATCTATATATCAATCTTCCTCTTTACTTATTTATCTATCGACCTTCCACTCTCAATCCATCCATCTATCTAACCCATATCTATCTATTCCTTCATCTATCTATCTAACGCATATCTATCTATCTCATCTATTTATCTATCACTCTATTAATAGCTCTCCGGACGTGTTCTCTGTTCCTGGGTCAACAAGGCCAGGGGGAAAGGTCAACAGCTTTCAGACGAACATGAAATAGGGGGCTGACCTTACCCTGACGTCACACAATATTTACCACCACAAAAAAAAAAAAAAAAAAAATAACAATAATAATAAATAAAATCAAAATCACGTAAACACAAACTCGATAATATTCTCTAATTTTGTCATATTAATAAAGAGATGTAAATTTTATGCTCCCGTATCCCCTGTGTTATGTTTTGATTCTGGAAATAATTGGCCACGTTCACCTTGGTAAATCAGATTCAGGGCCTCGTTCAGTTTTATGGGCCCATAAGAGAGCCATTTAGAGTGAGGTAGTCTGAAGGATTTTATGCCACCTGTTTCAAGGGATTTATTTATTTATTGATTTATTTTTGTAATAGATATAAACTAGGGATCAGAAGGGTGACGTTCATGATTAATTATGTAAGTTGGCTGAGTTATCGCATTGAAAGGTTTTAAGTTGTCGTATACATTTGTCTATGTTATCGCACTCAAAGGTTAAGCTATCATACCTAAGGGGTTAATACTATTGCAAGGATATAAGTTATCGTACACAAAAAGGTTGTTATCGTACTCAAAATGGTTAAATTATGGTACCTTTAACTACACGTAAATATCGCCAGTACTGCACATTTTCGGTAATAAGATTCTTCTTCTTATCTCCGATCAGGTAATCAAATATGGCGACCAGACTAGACATATAAATACTAAACTGGTCCACCAAGTATCGTTCACCTCTGTACAGGTTAAACAGGCTGCAACCGATCTATAACGGGTCTTGGGTTTGTTGACATTTTTCTGGTTTAAATCACCTGTTGCACCACATGGAGATTAGCCTCCTCCCCCCCCTCTCCCTCCATCTTATTTCACCTGGGGAAGGATTAGGTTATGGTATGTTGTTAATATGAATAGCTTCCATGGATGATGGCATAGGAGCTGTGGCGTCAAGCTAGGTCAAACCACACCCTCCCAGGTATAGAGGGATGAAGCAGACAGACAGACAGACAGAGGTAGACAGGTTTAAAACGACATTAGGTAGAACACAGACAAAGAGAAGCGGAGAGAATTGAGGTAACAACGGCTGGTTTAATATTAAACAAAGGAAAAAAAATTGCAAAAAACTTAAAACTTGAGAATGTAGACGAGGTGTGACCGAGGCGAGATGTACTGTATGTGTGGCCTGACAGAGCCGGTGTTACTATGATGATTGATGGTGAGGGTTATAATAATTAACCAACCCACCCTCCTACATCACCAACCCACCCTCCTACATCACCAACCCACCCTCCTACATCACCAACCCACCCTCCTACATCACCAACCCACCCTCCTACATCACCAACCCACCCTCCTACATCGCCAACCCACCTTGCTACTTCACCAGCCATCTCACCTTCTCCCGCATAACCAACAGCACCTGAGGTATAGTGGTCAACTCTTAACACCTCGGCTGATCAGAATGAATGGACAAAAAAGATGACGAGACAGAGAGAAGGAAGTTTGGGGGGTGACCTCTGTTGACCAGGAGGGGGGGGAGAGGAGGAGGAAGAGAGGTGGATGGGAGGAAGAGAGGGAGAGAGGAGGAGGGAAGAGAGGGATGGAAGGAAGAGGGGGGGAGGGGAGGAGGGGAGAGGTGGGGAGGAGGGAAGAGAGGGGGGGGATGAAGGGTTAAGGAAGTGGAAGGGAAGGTAGGTGTGAGGAGAGGAAGGCTATGGGAGGGGAGAAGGAAGGAATGAAAGGGGGAAAGGGATAGGAAGGGTCGATGGTGTAGAGGAAGGGAGGGTAGGGGAGTGGAAAGAAAAGGGATAGGAGGTGAAAAGGAGGGAATGGAAGGGGAAGAGCGATAGAAGGGGTGGATGATGGAGAGAAAGGAAGGGTAAAGGATGGAAAAAGGGAGAGGTGAGGAAGTGGGAGATATGGGGTACGTATCCTTGTATTATAATTGTACCAAAGAAAAAAAAAAGACAATTCCATCGCAGGCGAAGAGGCAGGCTATCGTTTCGTCTGGCGTAGTGCTCCACGTAGAACAAAGCCAGACGCTGTTTTGAGTGCCCGTGGCGACGTTGTTTCTTCCAAAATGCGTAGGGAGGTATGGGGGGACAGAGGGTGGGTAGGGGTGAGGGTCGTGGAAGAGGAGGAGGAAGGAGGGGGAGGAGGGGTAGAAGAGGAGGGGGTAGAGGAGGAAGGAGAGGGAGGAGGGGTAGAAGAGGAGGGGGTAGAGGAGGAAGGAGAGGGAAGAGGGGTAGAAGAGGAGGGGGTAGAGGAAGAGGGGAGGTGGTAGACGTTACCAAGGTTGCAAGGTGTCTGGTCAGTAGTGCTGGTAGAGGTGTTGCTACGTACTGTTATCGTCTCACATGCAACTATACTTCATCTCTTCCCGTTTGTTTATTACTATTGTGTATTATATAACAGGCCCAAAGTCATGATATGTTCCTAGTTACCTGGTTTATCACTGACTTAATGCAGCAAGTCCAAATCCGTCTCTTATCTCTCGCATGTTGCTGGGTAGCTTACCTCTCCTCCTGCTTCAAGTTCACTACTTTATGTTGTATACTGTCTTATGCAACAAATCCGTGTCTTTGTTACACTTTTGCTTGGTCCTGCAATAATTTCACCTCCCTACATTGCAGATTAATCGCGTTTTGGTCTTTTTGGTCTTATGCAGCAAGTCAGTCTCTCTGTTGCACCCTCCTTTATGCACGGTGTTTTGATGACTGGCTCTATGCATATTCGCATCCAGGTGATTCACGACCAGCGATTTTACGATACCTGATTCATAGTTCCGAAGCCAGGAAGATAAAATTATGGCGGTAAGTCGGTAAGCCAAACCTAATCATCAGGGTGAATAACGTGTAATTCACTCTTCCTTATAAAATATTCCAATCACTGTCGTCTCCAATCTTTATCATGAACGACACAGCCACAAAAATTCAATCAACCACTGTCCTCATAGCCAATCATCACACGCTTTACCAATCCTCCAAGATCAGCCCTTCTCTCTTCTCACAGTCACTCACCTCTTCCCCTTACAGTCACTCCTCTCCTTCCCCTCAAAGTCACTCGCCTCCTCCCCTCAGTCACTAATCACCTTCCGCACAGTCACTCATCTCCTCCCCCTTACAGTCACCACTCACCTCCCCACTCCTCACAGCCACTCACCTCCCCACTCCTCACAGCTTCTCACTCCTTACAACTACTCACCTCATCTTGCAGTGTGTATGAATGAGTAGAGTTAGAGTACGTTGCCTTCAGAAACGTCTTTACGCCACCACGTCCTCTGGCCAAGTGAGATGCGGAACACCACGACCCCGGCCTTATATACTCACCCTGGAGGCTTGGGTAGATGTATTTTTTATATCCCAGGATGAATAACGGATTGAGTTAAGTCTCTACTGTGAGTACATATTTTCTCTTCATATACAGGGAAAGAATATATGAACTTAGGAACCTTTGTGAATTAGGATTTTTTTTTTAAACTTAGTATATAATCTGAAGTTAGGTTTCACTTGGTCTGTCAGGTTGTGTTAGTTATGTGTATTGACGAGGTGGGAAGTTTTCGAGGTCGTTGTCCATCCTAGGAGACAAAATCACATGTTTCCTGGAGTTTGGGAGGATTTGGCTAGTGTGTGTGGAAGCCTCGTCTGTGTAAACCAAACTTGTTTATATGTTTAGTTATTTTTTTCTCTATCGTTACTTTTTATTATTGTTTCATATTACTGTATGATTTTGTACTTTTATTTATTATTTTTTTATGTTTACTTTCCTCTTGCTTTGATCACAGGTAGATTACACGTTGCTGAGTCCTGCAAAAAGCTAACCGAAACTAACAAATCCTAATCTTACCAAACGTATCCTAACCTAATTTAATCTAATCTAACCTAACTTAACACATCCTAACCTAACTTAACCTTTTAGAGGACAGAACTTTCTCTCAGCTGATTAAAATCGTCTGGTGTTAGAATACAATACCTAAGGGCCACTCTGTCCTCTAACACTGGGTTCTCAACTTTTTTCTCACCAGGTATCCTCTGAGTTATCCGACCATCGACCCGTACCACCATTACTGAGACACTGAATATAGAATGGTACTACATTAACACTAATTCAATATAGAATGACAGTGTTAAAACATATTTGGTACTTGGAGAGAAGCAACTTTCTGTATTGTAAATAGAACATTAAATTTATATCACCTCATGAATTAAATCTGGTGATAATAGTATATTCTATATTGGTTTTCTCCAGCCCTCAATGTACCCCCTGGAAACCCTCCTAGGTACCCCTGGGGCTTCGCGAACCCCAGTTTGAGTCTAAAGGGTTAATTCCCCTGAGGTAGTAGTAGGATGTCTAATCACCATGTGAAATAAGCTGTGGTCTATATCTTCTTTTTTCATTACGATCGTGGTATGACTCGTGAGGCGTAAGTGGAGGAGGAGGAGGCGCCGTGTGAGGCGTAGGAGGAGGAGGCAATGCCGTGTGAAGTGTATTGGTTTCCTCCACGTAGCAATAATGTTATCCCCATTTATCACTCCCAAGTTACACAATTACCAGTATGATTAAGTCTCCTAATTCCCCAAAGTCTCCCAATTGAACTGCGTCAACACCCGATTTACTATACTTATGAAGAACCCATCCTAGACAACTTAACCAAAGGTGGGCGTCTGGGCCATAACACTGAGAGAGTTTACATAGTAACTAGGATAACTATCAGGAATATTCGACTAATACAAAGACTTTACAGTGCAAGTAGTGATCACTGAATCGCGAGGGTCGTGTTTAAGGACACCGGAGTTTCCAAAATCTGATTCTGTTGAAATAACCCGTAGAGAACCAACATCACGTGTGTATGTATACTGATACGATAAAGGGGAAATTGTGTATATTAATATCGCTCAGAATCTCTAGTTTGTGGAAAATTGTCTTTGGTTTGGTGGGACAGGACAATGTAAACTATTAACTACGCATTTTGTCGACGGTGAGTATCGGTTACAACCTGGAGAGTCCCAGTGCCTCACCCCCTGGGACCCCACACCTCACCTCTCCTCAGACCTCACGCACGCACCAGCCGCCCGGGTAGAGGAAGATAATGCTTAGCAACGGTGCTAATAGACGCGATATTTCTGGATTTTAGCCCTTGGTTTAATGCTCCCGGACACAGATAAAAGTAATTATTTATATTTTTACTGCTCAAGTGTCGTCTGTCAATTACGTAGGAAAGTTCGGACTCTCACGACGTGGTTCCGTCGCCTGGCAGACTTGTTGACATCCACATACAGATCGCTCTGCCGTCACTGCTTGTCTTTCACTAACAACGTATCGGAATGCATGAAGTTACTGTGTTATGTTACATGACCTTGAAAGTATCAAAATGATAGTCTTTATATCGAAGTTTTTATTGTGTCCATGCTCCGTCATCCTTGGCTGCCAGGAAGATACAAATAGTCTGTGAGAGTGTATGTTTGTATGTGTGTGTATGCTAATGTATACAGTATGTATATATATATATATATATATATATATATATATATATATATATATATATATATATATATATATATATATATATATATATATATATATATATATATATATATGTGTGTGTGTGTGTGCGTGTGTGTGTGTTTATACGTAAAGGCGTGCGGATCAGTTTGTCCGAGTCTGCTCAAGGTCAGGGGTCAGAACTCTTAAAGGAAAAAGAATCTCGTGAACCAGGCAGAAGACTCAATGATGGAAGGAATGACGCAAAACACCGCCACTTGTGTTTCTTCTTAAGAAACGAAGCAAATTGTGATAACAAGAATATTTTATTAATCATAAGTGTTTAAACTCGAAAAAATTTTTATTACCTAAAATATATGTTAAGGTCGCAGTCACGAGCCAGTACTGCACTCTGGGAAATTTCTTACCCAGTACAGTACCTAGTGGAACGTTCAGGGTGCACCGTCCCTCACGTTCTTGTGACTCCTGGAGACGGAATGGTGGAAGGGATCCGGTGTAAACAAAATGAGTAAAACAAAAAGTCGGTTTTACCAAAGCTCTTGTCGACTGTTGTGACTAAATGAAAGTTTCCTATAACACACACACAAAAAAACGCCTGAGATATCGCCTGGACAACCAACCAACCGAGACCTGAAATAAAAGGAGTAACCACCGAGTACCTTCTGGAGCTTCACCTGGAGACGGGGTAGTGGAGGACGGGTTAAAGGGGTGACGTACAATTACGTGATCAGTGTAACCAAAAATAGCTCGAGGAATTGCCTCTTACCATACTGTTTTCCCAGCCTGACACAGGAAACACGTCAATTGTGTACTTAAGGAGTGAATGTCTAAAACGTTTCATAGTGTTTGGTTTTCTTGGGACGGTGAAGAGGGAGATAAAATGTACTTAAGTGTTTATATATATATATATATATATTTATATAATATTGTTCAAAATAACAAGTTTGTCTGTGTGTTTGTCGCTTTGACCTTATTTTTTCCTGGCTTGACACAGGAAAGACGTTGTTCATACACTACAGTATGTTTTCGGAATGTGGTGTCATGGTTTTTTTTTTCCAAGAAGTGAAACGTTCCGATGTTCTTTGTGCTTCAAGTACATTCAGTTTTTAATGATGTGTCAGTTTGTGTGAGTGATTTATGTATTTGGTGAGTCGAATTAGATGTTTAGAAGGAAATATTGAGAAGATGAAGTCGGAAGGAAGGACAATCAAGAAGAAGAGGAGGAGGAGGAGGAGGAGGAGGGGGAGAGGGAGAGGGAGGAGCCAGAAGAAACACAATAAAAGAAGAAAGGAAAAAGAGAGGAAGAGTTGATAGGAAGTAAAAAGAGGAAGAAGGAAAAAATGATAATGAAGGGAATATATAATAAAATGCAAAACGAAAGACGGAAGAGATAATGAAGATGGAGTCCACCCGAGTGTGTGTGTGTGTGTGTGTGTGTGTGTGTGTGTGTGTGTGTGTGTGTGTGTGTGTGTGTGTGTGTGTGTGTGTGTGTGTGTAGAGGGGACAACAACTCTGCCTCCTCATCACACGCCCTGTAACACAATATTAACCCCTATGATCTCTTACATATGGGTTATTGTAGCAGTTAAGAGAGATACATTACATGGAAGGATTGACAATAAACGCGAGAAAGCACGTCATACAAGGCGGGTCGGGGTGGGTTGTGGTGGGTTGAGTCATACAAGGCGGGGTGGGTTGGGGTGGGTCGAATCATACAACTCTCCCGGGATAGTGTGATGAAGGTGCTACTGCATGGAAGACACTAATTTATTCAGGACTCGTAAACAAGGTATGATAACACTTGGTGACCGTGTGACGAGGATGTTAATATGTCAGGTATGTTTGTTTGTCTGGTCGGGTATATGCATTGTCTGATCCTCTTGTAAAGGTCGAAGTCGTATTATCAACTATAATTGGAAAGCAAAACCAGCTGAAGATTTCTCTGGAGTTCACCAAGATGTACTGTGCACCACGCGGGTAGAGTCGTCGTTAGTCACACACACACACTTATCAATATCTCTGAGACAGTCGTTTGGGCACCATTGCTAAATATTGGTCTATATCCGTATTATTTCATGCTTTATGGATTGTCGAGGTGACACTGTCAGTACCCCCGTGCAGTCGCCAGGGCGGGGAGGAGGAGTCAGTCCCCGCAACCATCTGCATAACTGTACACGTGTAGGAAAATAAGCAACCTATAACTCACCCGGGCAGTAGTCCAGCAAGACCTTATACGGAGGGGCGACAAATGCGAACTTGAAAGATTCTCTACCGTATGATAGGGTCTCTGAGGGGCGTCCGTCCCTCCCCATGAGGGAGCTCCTGGTTCATTTTGCCACTGTGATAGGCAAGAGTGAGGCATACTTTTAGGTATAAGGCGTTCACCACGAGGACCAAGTGTGTACGTCATTATATAAAGGCAACATCGTCACTAGTAACACTTGTGGATATGGCAAAATCCTTCCTTGAATCACTGAATGTGGTGGTGTTGATTTATTCTCAGGGAAATGTTTTTGGTTTGATGGAGCAGATGTGGCAATGAAACAACGACCAGCTTGACGATGTACAGTATCTAGTTAATGGTTCAGGCTTCGTCACCTCACCAAGTACTGTTGCAGACGACCAGTGATTGAGTGTGTGTGACACCTTCTGGTACACTCGCAGTTTATTCATATTTAAACAAGTAAAGATTCAAGTATAAGTATAATTATGGTAACACTCTTTAGGATGGCGGTACCTTTAACGTGTTTATCAATAGTGTTCCCTCGACCCAACTCACGTGTCACCTGGT